ATCATTCTCTCCTCCGTAACCCTTAATTCCTTTTGTTGTGATCTTGTGACCTTAGATAATAAACAAAACAACCAGATGTTGTCTAAACATTTTTTTTTTAATTATATATGATATTATTATTATGTATTTATTGAATTCTAGTTTTCTTTGCCCTATCTATATTCATTGATAACTTATACAAACCGATCCGATTCTGAAAATTGATCATTCTATTTATATTATGTTATATATACCTAAATATCAATGTTGGTATCACTTTCCTCGCTAATATAAGTATTGTAATCTCCTGACGGTGGCTGAGTTAAAAAGAATATTCATGCAGTTTTGTGCTTGCTGACTTTTTGTTAGTTAAAATAATAATAATAATAATATATATATATATATTATATATATATTATATATATGTATATACATATTGATATATTATTATTATTAGGAAGAGTGTTACAACGCAACTGACAAACAACGGAGTTTTTTGTAACCCTCAATATAGATTGGGTAATTTTGATCTATATTACCCTTGTAAATTTTACTTCTTTTCAAAACCTTCTGCTTAAAGGTTTAACAACTATCCCCTTTCGACGCAAGAGAAACGATGCCCTTTACTTGCTTTCCTTATACTACCATATAATCGATATCTTTATTTCACTTTCTTTTCTTTACCTCGATTCCCTCTTTCTTTGCATCTACTGCCTTCGTTTCTCATTTGCAAGTATATACACTCTAAACTCCTCATCTGAGGGTCCTCTCTCAAGTGTAAAAATTGTACAAAAGTCTTGTTCATATTTCTCTTTAGATTTATTTTTCTTTTACTTGAAACTTTTATTTCTCTCTAGACCTTTTTTCTTTTTAATTATTCGTCTCTTTCTATTTTTTACTTGTGTATTTTTTTTTTTCTTTCATCGCAGTTTAAAAAAAAAAAAAGTTGTACAAGTCTCACGCGATTTCTTTTTTTATTATCTTTTAACTGCGTGCGTAAAAAAAAAAGCCTCTCGCATTATTAAACAAAAAAAAAAGCAAAAAAACAAAAAAAAAACATTTATTTTAAAGAAACTTAATTACCTTTAATATATACTTTGCTACTTTTTTTTTAAAAAAAAAAATTAACTCTTCTCTTTAAAAAAGATGATTCCTCGTAATATTATGGACGAAGCGTCCAAAAACAAAACTGACCTTCCTCAACCAAAAGCTAATAATAAACTACAAGGACAGGTAAGAAATAACTTTGTTATAATTGTTTTATAATTTAGTTATAAGTTAGTTATAATTTAGTTATAAGTTAGTTATAATTTAGTTCATTTAGTTTCGTCGATCTTGATCTGATCTTTTCATACTATTGAGTATTAAATATTATTGTAGACATTATTAAAATATTTAATTCTCTTTTTTTTTTCTCTCTTCATTCAACTATATTCATCAACTATATTCATCAACTATATCCATCAACTATATTCATCAACTATATTCATCAACTATATTCATCAACTATATTCATCAACTATATTCATCAACTATATTCAACTATATTCAACTATCGGATTATAGCAAGTGGCTGCGCTTTTGAGGGATAAACATGATTACGATTATGATATTTTTGGAAGCACACGACAAGATATTAGTCGTTCTAATAGTGCTCCGCCAACTCAAGTGGTAGATCAGCTTGGTCGGTTTGATCCTTCAGAACTAGATAATCCATCACCTTCCGATCCACGCTTAGATCCTGACTATCCGGCATTTTATTACATGAATTCTCGTCTTGATCCTAGACTTCCTCCCCCTTTATATACTCCCGGTCAATCTTGGCAATTATGGGCTGGTGGCGGTGGTTTGGGTGGTTTAAATCATAAATCAAATGGTGCTCAAGTTCCGAAACCTAAAGTTTTAGAAAAATTCCGTGGCATGGGTATGTTCCTTATTGTTTGGTATTCTTAAAGGTTTTTTTTGTATTATATATTGTTCTATGTTGTTCTATGTTGTTCTATATTGAATATCTTTCTTGTTATTATCTTTTTAACATTTCTCTTGTTAATATCTTTCTTGTTATTATCTTTTTAACATTTCTCTTGTTAATATCTTTCTTGTTATTATCTTTTTAATATTTCTCTTGTTAATATCTTTCTTGTTAATATCTTTATATTGTTAATGTTATCTATTGAATTTTTTTAACTTCTCCATATTTATCATATTTATTATATTTATTATATTTATTATATTTATTAAACTTTTATTCATTCATTCCATTTAATATTTTAGATGCTGACGATGACTTTTTACGCGAACATCCATTGGATCAAAGTTTAGAACCGGAATCCCATTCAACAATTGGTCAGCAAGATTATTCTAATGATCCTGGTACGCATACTGGTCAATATGAACAATTCGGTAATCAGGGTGTTAGCAATGCTGCGTCACTTTGGAGGTCTGAATTATCATCTCCTCCACCTCAAGGTATGAATAACGATCTGCACTCCCCGAACAAGAGAAAAAACCTCGTAAAGATGATTCAAGAGGTTAGTATAAAGACAAGGTATTTCTTTTATCTCTTAAAAAATATTAAAAAAATATATATATTAAAAAAATATATTAAAAAAATATTAAAAAAAAAAAATATTAAAAAAAAAATATATTAAAAAAAAAAAATATTAAAAAAAAAATATTTTAAAAAAAAAAATATTAAAAAAAAAATATATATATATATTTATTTAGGATTTTCCAAGGACGCCTTCTCCTCTTTATTCGCACGCCCGCCAACGACAAGCTGCTCTAGCAGAAGCAACCTCTGCAGCAGCTGCTGAATTGGGTAATGACGCCTTTGATGTTGACTTTCGTTCCGCCCTTGAGCTCGAAGAATCTCTCAACCATCCGAGCCATTATCAAAGTAGTTTGCGTGTCAATCCTGGCGATGAAAATCATGTTAAATCTATGATTTCTGGTGTAGAAGAATTTGATCATCGAATAGGTTTTGGTAGAGGTGCTTCACCACCCCCTCTTCGTACAAAATTCTCTCCTCCTCCTCGTGCTTCGTCAACGCCTCCGACTCAAAATCATTTTCGTAATCATAGCCTTAATTTCTCTCAAGAATTTCATGGTGATCTCTCCCATTCTGATCTCTTGTACAATATTAAAAACCTTGAAGGAACTGTATGTATAATATTTTAATGTCTTATATTTTCTATTAAAGATAATTAGTGAAATAATTTCTCCACTATTACGTTGTCTTATTATTGTCTTATTATTGTCTTATTTACCACTTTATTTACTATTTTATTGTCTATTTTTTATTGTTTATTATTTTACTTAATATACATATAAACAGGATGACTATGATACCCTTCAACAAGTGCAAATTATGCGACAGCAACAAGCAATTAAACAGCAACAGCAGCGTTTAAAGATGCAACAATCGCAGTATAATTCGTTATTTAATGATAATTCTTCGTCCGGTGGTTATTCTCAATACGGTCTTGGTACGTTTATTATCATTTCTTATTTAATGTATCTCAAGAGTATTCTTTTATTATCATTCTTATTATTGTTATTCTTATTAATATTACTCTTATTATTATTTTATCTTATACACACATACGTGCATATACGTACATATACGTACATATAATATACGTATATTTATAGATCCTTATTCGTCCGTATGGGATCCTCGAGAAGAGACTATGTTAAATAGAAATATCCTTTCCTCTGACATGACATATTCGCGTAATGGTTCTTTAAGTCTAAGTTCTGGTCGAAATTCTATTGATTACCAAAAAGCGCTTCAGCAACAACAACTTGGATTAGGTGGTTCCGGTACCATGGGTGTTAGTCGTGACCAATTATTATCATCTGAATATAATTCTGGAAAAAGTAGTCCATACTATGGTTCTGGTCTTAATTCTTCTGGTCTTAGCTCGGTGAGTGGTTTAGGTGGTACAACACTAAATGCCCAAACTCGTGCTTCTCTAGCAGAAAAAAATTTGCGATTACAGTCGCAACAACTGTTACTTCAACAACAACAGTTAAAACAACAACAAATGATGCTTGCTCGTGAACAATTATTAAGACATCATCATTCTGCTGAATATTTGAATGGTATTGGTTATGGCGGTATTTCTAGTGGCCGTCGTAGTAATGATTTAAGTTCAAGTATTTCTGATCCTGGTCACGGTATGCGAAGCGCTCTATTAGAAGAATTCAGGAATAATAAAAATAAAAAATACGAACTTAGAGTATGTATTTTTTTTATATATATTTTTATTTATTTATTATTTTTATACAATTTTTATACAATTTGTTAATTTGTTATTTGTTATACAATTTATGATTTGTTACACAATTGTTATTTGTTATACAATTCGTTATTTGTTTTAGGACATTGTCGGTAATATAGTAGAATTCAGTGGTGATCAACATGGTTCAAGATTTATTCAACAAAAACTTGAAACCGCTAATAGTGAAGAGAAACAGTTAGTTTTTGATGAAATTTTACCTAATGCTCTTCAATTGATGACTGATGTATTTGGAAATTATGTAATTCAAAAATTCTTTGAACATGGTAACCAAATGCAAAAGACAATATTGGCAAAACAAATGGAAGGTCATGTCTTGTCTTTAGCTTTACAAATGTACGGATGTCGTGTTGTTCAAAAGGTATTTAAAATCTAACGAATCTTAATTTAATTTTGTAATTTTATATGTAATTGAATTTCTAATTTATTTTAATAGGCACTTGAACATGTTCTTACTGAGCAACAGGCTACTTTAGTCAAAGAGCTGGACGGTAATGTGCTTAAATGTGTCAAGGATCAAAACGGAAATCACGTCATCCAAAAAGCTATTGAACGTGTTCCTGCTGAACATATTCAGTTCATCATAAATGCTTTCCATGGGCAGGTCTATAATCTTGCGACGCATCCATACGGTTGTAGAGTAATTCAGCGTATGTTTGAACATTGCACCGATGAACAAACGGTATGAATGTATTCTCTGCATTTATTTTATTTATTTATTTATTTTTTTATACCTTTATTTTTATTTGTTGATGGAATTTAAATTGGGGGAATAAACTTAAGAAATCATTAAAATTTATTTATAGAAGCCTCTGCTGGAGGAACTTCATCGATATACACAAAATTTAGTACAAGATCAATACGGAAATTACGTTATACAACACGTTCTGGAACGTGGAAAAGCTGCCGATAAATCAATGGTTGTTGCTAAAGTTCGTGGTAATGTTTTGCAAATGTCCAAACACAAATTTGCTAGCAACGTAGTTGAAAAATGTGTTGCATACGGTAGCAAACGTGATCGTCAATTATTGATTGATGAAGTTATCCAGACCAAACCTGATGGGTATATATTTATTTATTTATTTACTTCATTACATATTACACCTAATAATATATTTAATTTAATATATGCTAATGTATTTTATTTTTATTTATAGTACTTCACCTTTGATTTCAATGATGAAGGATCAATACGCTAATTATGTGGTCCAAAAGATGCTTGATGTAGTTGATGGTGATCAACGAGATCTCCTTGTCGCAAAAATTAAACCTCAGCTGCAGTCATTAAAGAAATATACGTACGGAAAACATCTCATTTCAAGTAAGATAAACAAAAATTTTATTATTTTATTATCTTTAATTATTGTTAAATAAAATTTTATCTTTTATTAATATTCTATTATTTTTTTATTCTATTATTTTATTCATCGATAATCGATAAATAGAAGTTGAAAAACTTATGATCCTCACAGAAAATCAAAAGAATCAAAACGGTGGTCTTGCTAATGATGGTATTTCAGTCGATGTTCTGACACCCACCAGTTCGCATACTCCTCTCGGAACTTCTAATAATTCTCCTGTCATGTCTTCACCGGCAATTGGATCTGATACAAATTTACATACTGGTTCTGTTCACATTTCTGAATAAATTTAAACGGTAGCATTGTAAAATATAAATTTGGTGATGTCCGTAGGGTTATAGACTCCTTACATTGTTATATATAATTGCAAGCTCAATATTTTTTTTTTAGCATTATGGTAGGGTTTCTTTTTTTTGGTATTGGTTTCGCAAAATTTTTTGCGATTCATTTATTTTCTTTTGTTTTTATTGAACTATATATTTTATACACTAATTTTTGGTGGTGATTACCGAATGTGGATCAATAATTCATTAAGGTTTTCATCAGCATTTTATATTATATAAAACCAATTTACCCTTTTTTCTGAACATATTTTTTTCTCTGTGATCTTTTTCACCCTTTTTTACTGTACATGGTTGTCCATATGCAAAATATAAATATATATACATACATATTTCCCCTTTTCCGTAGTATAGTGTATCCCTTTTTTTTGTTCAAAAATTTCTTGTACGTACTATTTACTTAGTCAAATTTTTGCATTTGCGATTTTTTATACTATTGTTTTATTATATATTGAAAAAAATGAAAGTTCTACATATTACTGGTAAAAAGTTTTTTTTTACTTTTCTAAAAGAACCGAGTGAAGAGAAATTGAGTTTCTTGTAATTTTGTTTATCGATATTGAAAAAAAAAAAAAAATGTAGTTTTTCTGAAAATAGTATATATAACGATAGACTTGACTACACACGTGCAGGTCTGGAATTATACCTTTTAGTGCCGATCACCTTTGCTAACCGTTGCTGCTTTATAAAAAAAAAAATTATACGTATAATTGTAAATTTTTTATTTATTTTTTTTTAATTATTATTATATACTTATTTTTTTTTCTTTTCTTAATAGTGTAATATTTAATAACTTAATTATTGTGAATAAAGATCATAATTTTGAAAAAATGTTAAGTATTTTTATTTAATAAATATTGTGTATATACGTAGTTTATTTTACCAGAGTTTATTTTTTTTATACACATAAACTATTATTTTGTTAATAAATATTAATAAAAATAAATTTGTAAAATTTAATAATATTGTACGTATATTTATCTATTGTATAAATTATATGTATTTTGTAAAGCAATATTGAATTTAAAAAAATATAATTTATTTTTTTAATTAAATTTATTTTATATTAAAAATTTTTAATATTTTGCAATTTTTTTTTGATAATTATTTAAATTTTTATCAAATTTAAATTGAAAATTTAAAATTAAAAGTTTTATTTTTTTATTTTTTTTGTAATAAGGTTAAGCTTTTTTGGTTTATCAGTTTTATTATATCTAAGATTTGTTTATAAATTTTTTATTTAAATTTTTTAATTTGAATTTTATATATTAATAGTTCAGATTTACTCTTTTGTACTAGTTCTAGTATATTTTTAAAAACTTATAAAAAATCTAAATAATTAAAGTTTAATTTTTTTTATATACTGTACAAAAATCTGATAATTATTTAAAATTATTTAATATAATTTTTTTTACGAGTTTACTAAAACACACTAGTGGTGTTCAACACCATAGTAATTTTAACTAATAAAATTGTTGATCTGTGTATAATGTCAAAATCAGGTATAACATAAAAATTAAAACAATTCTTTTTTTTTTTTTGCTTCACTTAGGCAGATCGTGTCAGTATCCTTTATTCAATCAAGACCAAATCTGTAAAAACATCCAACACTGAAACTGTGAATCTGACATCTTGCGGTTACTTCGCATAACCTAACCAATTATCTACATACACCTACAGGCAATTATGCCACACTTTCAGGATATGATCAATTAAGATAATACTTCTGGAAGCTCGTCTGACCACCGCTCTATAATAGGATATCACCAATCTGATAATATCTTCTCGTAGGAAAGTGAAAGAAAAAGAAAAAAAAATTTTAACAAAAACAAAACACAGAGGTATAGGGGAGTATGCAAAAAACAAATAAACAAAAAAAAAGAGGATAAGAGATGAATGAAGAAAAAACTAAACTAAATATAAGATTTTTCACTCATACCGGATAGTCACAATTATAAGCCTGTGTCAAGCTGTAAAAATTACATATTACACTAATTTATATAATTAATATATTTAAGCAAAAAATCTTAAAAAAAAAAAAAATCGGTTTCTTCGATATTGGCATTATAGAGAAGTCGGAAGTTTGCACTATTGGGCTCAGAGCATTGTTTGTTCAGAGGCCATATTTGAAACACATAATCCAATTATCTACATCCCTGCATCTACGTATTTGTTGTGACAGGTAATAAATATAAACAATACTGCCTGATTTGGCAAGTAAACAATTTGTCAATCTTTTGGAAGGAATAAGCTAAATCATCTACTTTTTACAAAATTTTGCCTGAAAAAAAAGTGGGAGACAACGAAAATATATGAAGTTTTTTTGTAGGTTTTATAGTTGTATACTTGGTTCTTTAGAAAAATACTATCTCAACGAGGGTAAAACTACTTCTGCTTTTAGAATAAACCTTCTAGTTTGAATACCAAATATCCTGGAAAGTTCATAACAGCAGAGAAAACAAAAACTTGATCTCAGGAAAAACCACTCGAATTACGCTTGCTCTTCGATGTTTCATATCTTTTAAGCTTCGTTGACAGCAACCTGTTCAGAGGTAAGTTCAGTTTCCAGAATACTTTTTTGGTTTGAATGCCAAATATCTTAAGAAGTTCACTATTAGCAAAAAGCTTGATTCCAAGAAAAACTGCCCAAGTTATGTCCACTCTTTGGTATTTTACATCTACAGGCTTTGTTAACAACTGTTTACTCAAAGACAAGACCAAAATAGTATTTATTTTAGAACTTCCTATAGCATTTTTCTGTAGTTCGATTTTTGTTATATTGTCCAAAGAATCGTCAGAAAGAAAGTGACTGTTAAAACAATCCTTTAATTTTTTAAAAAATTTTAATAACTCAAAATTTTGCTTATGAAACCACCTTTTGTGTCTTAATAAAAAAATTTTTTTGCAAAATTTTGGTTATAATAACCTATATCCTCCAATCCTAGCTAATAATTCTAACTCTAATATTAGCTAAATTTTAATCTTTTTTTAAATTTTTGTTTTGATATGTGGTGTTGAATACCACTGATGCATTTTAGTAAAGTTGATAAATAATATCTAGCTAATTATATTTATTTATAATTACCAATTAAAATACTAATAGCTTATAGTTATATAATTTGCCATTCAACCAGAGAGAGCTCATAGTGTAATATGATGCGGTTTGTATATAGAAATTAAAATTTTTGGAATGTGAGCTGCTTCTATTTGAAACTTTTTTTTGTATAGTACAAGACACTTAAAAACTACATTTATCCTATTTTCAAAATTTTCATATTGAAATTTGATATTTTTTGATTTTTTGTATTCTGATTGGTTAAAAATTAATTAATAAAAAATATTTTAAAAATAATTTTAAAAATAATTTTAAAATTAGC